TAATCTATTTTTCAAATTAATTTTTTTATATCATTATTTTAGTTAATACTAATTTTACAATATTTTGTTGAGAATATAGTTACAATATTTAAAAAAATAAACAAGTCCCGAAGGTTTTGTGGAGGTGATTTTCCTATTGCCTCTCCTTCAAAACAGTTACTGTGAATTATTATCAACACGTTGACGAAATTTATATAATTTGGTATCGTACAAAGTGGTAGGTAATTTATTGAAAACCATATTTAYATTGTGCGGAACAAAATGCTTAAATCATATTTTTATAGTATGAGAGTTCAAGTATCATCATAATAAAATTAAATGTTTATTACTGCCTTAGGTCGTGCCATTGTTTTTGGGAATTCTAAACTTCCCTTTGTATTCCATAGATTCGGCAACATGTGTTCATTGGTTAATTACGGAAAATTGTAACACCAACGAGTTTTTCCATGTATCTGAATTAATTTTAAAACACAGTATTATACGTTCAGCAGTTTCATAATTACTTCCGGTGTTAAATCGAACAGAAAGCCGCGTTATAAGTCGAATAGACACACATATTTTTTGATTATCGGCCTTTCAAATACGATAATGTGTTATATAATGATAATATACCTAAGTATACGTAGGCAAGCATAGTTAACCGTCCGTTATAGCAGCTATTATTATACAACTATATTACTACCGTAGCAATAAATGTAAATTTTTGCACGGTAACCTTTGTAACGAGCTATACCCACACGAAATTCAGAAAACAAAAATAAACAAAACAATGGAGCAAGTTACTGGAATAAATTTGACATTTTACGAAATTGATATTCTTATTCTAAGTTTTTGTGCGCGCGTGAAACCGTAATTTTCCCGCGCGTCCGTAAAAGTGCATACTTTATGTAACGCGTGCGGGCGTATGTACGGTATATAGTTGTATACAGTATATACATAGAAAAATGATAAACGAGACGACGAAATGGTGAGGTGGCAGACGTCGGGGACCGGGGTTAAGGTGGAGTC